AATGTGACTAATGGATTAACTGGGCTTTACAACCGAATGGTATTTCTAACGGAGACAGACACACCTATGGATCCCAGCATATATATCACTTATAGTTCCTAAAATGCCTTTTAGATATCCCTTTGAGTCACTATGATGAAGCACTGGACAACCGCTGCAGGATTTCATTAAACTATTTAGCAAATGGCTCTGGTTAAAACACTGGTTCCCATACCCTTGTCCATAAAGCCCGAGCCCTACAAATGCCATGTATACATTTCCATGCTATCTCTTTAGAGGCTTCAGAACTATTTTCTTACACCCAACACAGCTTTTATTCCATTTAGAATAATTACCCTCCATCCCATTTCTGCCTTTCAAGAAAAACAAGACACTTAATTGACCACAGGAGCTCTCAAGGGCACAGGCTTCAGAGGCTCTGCTGGGGCTCACAACTTCAGCTGATGTAATCTGCTGCGAGAAGCTGACTTCTATTTTTAAATTATACCCTTTTATTCTGCCTTCAAAGGGCACATATATCACACATTAACTTTGCTCATAAAATACCTCGTGGTACCAGGGTGAATCATGTTGTCAGGATGCCTCCAACTGCACACAGACAACCAGCCCCACCCATGCGAATTCACCCGTCAGCTCTTACACTTCAGCCTGGAGAGAGGGAGGCTCTATGGGGTTTCACTCTCCAGGTATCTCCTTCCTCCCAATCACTTTGACAAGGAGCAGATGACTAGCAGGGTTCTTCCAGAAGACTAGGATCAAGATTTCCTCTTTAGCTCCCCACACAAACACTTTCTAAAGACTCCCAAGGTTGATGTGCAGAGCTGTCCACAGTCTCTGTGCTTCAAAGGGCGCCAGATCATTTGTTTTGTTTAATTTTAAATTTTCATTCATCATGTGTGTCTGCCTTGTTCACTACGGCTGCGCTGCTTAAAAAGTTTCCTGACATTTGGGAAATGCTAGGAAAAAAAAAGTCTTGGTTGGAGGTGAAAATTCACTTCCAATTTGACATTTATTTGTTTATTCTGCTTATTTCTAAAAATAATAAACAGCTTTGTAATTAAAGTGACGCTCCACTGAGTCTGCCAGAGGTCAGAACAGTATGTTTCTCTCTGGTCTGCAACCCTCCATGACCCAGTCATGCCATGTTTCATCTGGTTTGTACTTTTGGACTCTCTGTTCTATCATGGAATCCGACTGAGCTGTTGGGAACACACATTGTGCTCTACATCTCCCCTTCTCCACAGTCTTCCATTCCCTCTTTACAGATGTCCCTTCTTCTAGCCCTGCTTCCCTCTCCTCCCCCACTGCGTAGGCACCTCCATCTCTACACTCACCTCACTTGGGCCCTGGTTCCCGATGCTATGCTGCTCCGCCTCGGGCCAAGTTGACTCCTCAGCTAGAAACTCTGCTCTGTTGTTTCCTACTCCCTCCACCTAGGTCCTTCCTATTTGTATGTTTTACTGCTGCCGTGATAATATACTCTGACAAGAACAATCCAAAGGGGATGGGTTTGTTTTAGCTTATTGTTCAGGATATAGTCTATCACGGCAGCAGGTCAAGACAGGAAGCATGAAGTAGCTGGCCGTATCCTCTTCACAGTCAAAAGAGAACAATGGATTCGTGAACGCACTCAACTCTCTTTCATTTACCCCAGGACTCGACCCATGAAATGGTTTTGTCTACAATTAAGATGGGTCTTCCCACATCAATTAATGTAATTAAGATAATCCCTCACAGGTATGTGCAGAGACCCAGCCCCCAGGTGATTCTAGATGACAAGCTCTCATACTATTCATTCTTTCTTTTTTTTTTTTTGTGGGGGGGGATGCTACTTCATCTGAGATTGTCAGTCTACATTTTTGGTGGTACCATTCCACTTCAGCTAATCATTCAATACTGCATTGTATTTACTTGTTTTCTGCCCAACTGATTGCGCAGGACAGGACCTAGTGCTATGCTATGCTCCTCTGTGCTTCAATATCATTTGCTGAATGGACAAACAGATGAATGAATGCATTCTAAACAATTCCAAATAGGGGGGTGTAAGGATTCATTATGCTGGTCTGCCCCAGCTACCTGGCAGAATGCACTCAGGCAGTTCCCTGGTCAGCCCAGGTGAAAAGGACCCCTTTAAAAGAAAGACCTCTGCCCACTTACACTCTCTCTCTCTCTGCTCTCTTCTCTTTCTTCCTCCTCTCTTCTCTTTCCCACTGTTGTCTTCTGTCCTCTCTCTGTCTCTGTGTCTCTTTACCTCTTTTCTTTTCCCTCCCCCTCCTCCCCTTTCTAATAAGACTTCTCACTAAGCTCTGTCTGCCTGGCATGTTTGTCCATCTGCCTTGGTCAACCTCCCCAAAATGGAATCCGCCAAGGTTCCCCTTGAGATTTATCATAACGGGGGCCTTACCCATGAGGAAAAATATAACATTTTTCTCCCTCAGCATATGTGAATTCAACCAAACATAAAGCCCAGGCTTTGTCAGCTGAAGTGTGGAAGAGGAGATGGCACTGAGGAGACAGCTCCTTGAGGACACACCCTGAGCACAGCTGCATCACTGTCCCAAAGGCCTTAAGTAACACACTCCAGAGATAGAGACACTGTTTAAGGTGGAATGCCACTGGGACAAGACTCTGAAGCTTAAGTAGAGTGAATTTGCAAATATACCATGCAGAAAGGAACTTCACACTTTAGAGTGTCCCTAAAGATGTCACCAAGTCACACAGACATCGGTCCTGTGACTTCTCACCTGTACAACCACATCTATCAATTTCCAAAATACCAGGAGGTCACCTACATGCAGTGGGAATGCTGAGTGACCTGAACTCAGCATGGCTCTGGCACCATGAACTCTGCCTGGAATACTGCCACTTGACATGTAAATGTTAGCCAGGGCCAGGAAATGACCCTGGGGTTAGGCTCTGTAGAGAACCAACGTAGTCCCCTGTCCTTGTGGAGGGTCCAGGCTAACTAAATACAGTCTTGAAGCTAGTCTTTCTGAAAAAAATATTCGTTTCCCCAAGTCCAAGTCTACCACATCCAACTATTAAATTGAATCCAGCACACCGAGGATTAGGGAGCCAGGCACAGCTTCAGCAACTACCGCACGGCAAAGGATTAAAAAAAAAAAAACCCAAACCACCCATATTTTCCAGAATCAAGAGATTGATGACATTAAACGATGGGAATTGCTTCAATGTTCAAACCAAATGACGAAGGACTTGGTTTCTGGTTCACCCTTCCACAGCTAGCAACCACCCCCTACCAAACAAACCAAATAAACACAAATTCACATAAGCGTTTTCTGCCTTCCAAAGTAACTGTTTACTTGTATTATCTGGCACATTGGCGCCACCCAGTAACTGAGTGTCACTGCCACTCTCAGGTATGTTCTTGAACTTTCTTATCTTTGTCTCTTAGTTGGTTGACTGGACACATCTTCAGGGGTTCAGGCGTCTGCTTCCTTGTCTGAACATTAGGTTAGTTACCTACCATGGACATCCTTCCCCTCCACAAAAGAAAACGTGTGTGTTGACTATGGAGAACACTAAGGAGACACTAAATAAAACAGTGTCAGCACTGTGCCCTGGAGGCAGCTTTGTTTTCCTCTCGTTCTTTCTTTCCTCAAACGCCCATTCCATTCCCTGCTCCTCAATCCCCAAATAAAAAGTAAGAGCAAAAGAAATGATGACTGGCATAATTACAAAGTCAGAAAACTTGCAAAACAGCCCGGGCTCACCAGCATCTAGTTGCCAAACCATAAACATTTCATCTGTCTACTTCCATGAAGCCTGATTTTCCTCTTTCAGAAAATGAATGAGTTCTAGGATATCTACATCATCAATGAAAAGCTTTTCAGTCCCACCTTTGCTTGGGCACAGTAGCCGGCCTTACTGGAAGGCAGATGCTGACATGCAAAAGACCAGAGAGAAAACGAGATGCTGGTTCCTACTACAGAGAGGGAGCCTGAATAACAAACCGAGAGAACAACGTGCAGAGGAATTTGTGCTGCTCTAATGCCTAGGTCAAGAAACGGTGACCACTGTCTTGAGCAGGAGAAGCTCCTTCCATCCTTCTATTCTCATACTTCTTAACCTCCGCATACCAGCCAAGGTTCTAGGCTCATAGTTCCAAAGTGATGTCCCTAAAAAGGAATCTAAGCCTTTAAAGCAATATTTCTAACTACAAATGGATCGGTTGAAATGACTAAGAAAGTTGATACTATATCATGTCAAGCGTAAAATCTAGATGATTTTTTTTCTTTCACACCCTAAAGCACACCCAGTTGCCCAAACAAAGAACAACCAGCACTGTACACAACAAAATCATTCCACATGTTCATTAAATGCTCAGTGTATTGCTGCCACCCAGTGGCAGGATGTATTCCTGTGGGACAAAAGACTGCAAATGTTTTGTTTTTGTTTTTTTAAAAAGGAATTGAAGATTATCCCTCCGTTGCTCATCAGTTCATCCAGGGAAATTTTAAGAGAATATTCATCTCTTCAGCTCCCATTTTCCTCAGAGAAATTTCTGAGGCAGTCGATAACAGGAATGGTCAACCCCATTCTAGCCAACCATAAACTAGATCCCAGTGTCTCTGGTATGTCACAAAAGGACTATTGTTATTTTACTAATTATAACATTAATTAGCAATTAAGAAGACTTGCCAAACAGTCTGTTCTCACCTACGAGATTTGTGTGAGCTACCCTGGATTTTTAGCTACGCATGAAGAGGCATTTGCAAGTGACAACCTTATAAAAAGTGCACATTATATGAAGATCTGACTTCAATTAAAACCAGCTACTAAATCCCAGCAATTTCCAGCCGTCTCGACTCTTCTCCTTAGAGAATTATATATCACATTAATTGGTATTCTGTCACATTAAAAAAATGTCAGCAATGACTAATTGCGTCCTGGGTGCACTTGAGTTATATCTTCCTTACCAGGGACTCAAGTCACTTCAAGCAGGTGGCCCTTCCGACAACGCCCAGAAAATGCCCTACCTTCCTGAACTTCTCCATTTGCTTGTAAAGGTCTGGATCAAGTTCCTGAGACACGTCCTTCATCCATAATAACGCCCCTCTGTATTCTGTCCGGCACTGCTCCATGCGGTTCACGGTCAGCCAGGTATCAGAGATGGCCCGATGTCTAAAAGTCTCCACTTCTTGGTGAAATCGACACAAAGGGTTTCGCAAAGCCAACCTGTGTACAAGAGGGCATGGCTACCGTCAGGAAACAAAGGAAAGCAGCAGTTCTGATCCAGACCCATGAACTAAGAACACTGTCTAGAACACAGATGCCTCGAGACATGCCAGACATTAATTAAAATGTGTGTGAACCTGGGAACCATCCAGCGATTGCCCACATTCTGATCCTTTAGTTTTTAATGAACTGGACTGTTGGCAAGAGAACTCTGCATTCCTGGGTGGCCCCAGGCCTGTACAATGTTTGTTTGAAGTTGAAACCAATCCTAGGTCAATGAAGGGCAGTTGAGGCACGACCATTCCTGCTTCTAATCCTGGTTACTCCCTGTCTCTTCTGTTCCTGAACTTCTGGCCCTGTGTGGAGGTATGGGACAGGCCATTTTGATCACTGCATAAAGGCCAGAACACCTGCAGTTTGCTCTAATGGAAACAGAACCGAAGCACTTTTAAATGATTTGGGAGAGAGGAACACAGTTACTAAGGGTCACCTGTATGTCAGTATTATCAGGTAAGCTATGTAATTCAATTCTTATAAATATGAAACTAGGTGTGGTGGTACACAGGGTTAAATCCAGAAGACCAGAGGGTCAGAAGTTCAAGTTGGCAGACCTGGCCTACCTGAGATCCTGGCTTAAAAGAGAGAGAAAGAAAGGAGGACAGAGAAAGGAAGGAAAGAATGGGGAAAGGGAGATAGATGGAGAAGGGAGAGAAGGAGGGGGAGGGAAGGAGGAAGGAAGGGAGGGAGGGGACAGAGCTTCAGCATAGTGGTACACACTTGCTTAGCACTGGCAAAGGCCTGGGCTGCATCTCAAACATTACCAGTGAGCAAACAAGCATCACACCAGAAATGAATGTACAATGTACAAGTGTAAGATTATTGTAACAGTAACCGACAACCATAACACACTGTTAGCTATTCATTAAAAAAGGAAGGCATATCCTAACTTTAGTTAAATAGCTATTTGGGGTATAAAATACTGCTTCTTCCATATTTGAAACCAGTCAGTGCCAGATGAATCACACTTTGAAAGCATATCCTGTCTTTTGTCAGAGACTTATTTTTATTTTAAATTATTCACATGTATGTCTGTATGTGTGAGTGCAGGTGCCCTTGGAAGTGAGAGACGTCAGACTCTGAAGTTGGAGTTGTAGGTGGTTGCAGGCCACCTGGTATAGTGCCAGGAATTGACCTTGGGGCTTCTGCAGGAGCAACACATACTCAGCCACTAAGCCCTCTTGCCAGCAGCACAAAATATTCTTTATGAAGTTTCAGGGCAAATGTGCAAAAAAATTAAACAGAAGATGAACATTTAAGTTCCTATTTGCATACCAAGTTACTCAGCCAAAGGGCATGATGGTGTTGGTGAGCTGAAGTGAGCTCCTGGCATTCCATCAGTGTCCACCATGCCTCACACATGTGGGGCACTCTAAAATTATAAATGCCACAATAAACCTTACGGAAAAAAAACCTATCTCTTTTGCTATTTCTCCATGTTTCCTTTTGTCTGTAATGTATTGCTTTAAGTGTTGAACCCATCTATGACAGAAGCTTGTCCACACTGTCCTAACTAGATGTCTGGAGAGATGGCTCAGAGGTTAAGAGCACTGGTTGCTCTTCCAGAGGTCCTGCGTTCAATTCCCAGCAACCACATGGTGGCTCACAACCACCTATAATGAGATCTGGTGCCCTCTTCTGGCATGCAGGCATACATACAGGCAGAATCTTGTATACATAATAAATAGATAAATCTAAAAAAATAAGTCTTCTCAAAAGGTCACGTCACTGTGTCATGAAGTAAGTTTGCATTTTATACTGGTGGTTTAAATTTGCTACTTGCCTTTCATCCAACAGAATGTGTAGCAGAAGCAATGCCTAACAAATAAGTCACAGTGTGTAGGTTTATAATAGGGAGGGCTCCTGTTTAAAGACACAAACAGTCCTCAGATGGCTCCCCAAGGATGCTGCTCACTTTCTGACTCCATTTCTCATATATAGATTCCGTATACTTTCCTACATTTGCTGAAAATGAATATCGTGAATAAACTACTCTCAATCCCTTAGAAATTACAGTTATTTTTAAAGTTACAATAACGTGATGTTAGAAAATAACAAGGCATACAAAAACAACCTCATCTACCCTCATCCCTGCCATCATGTCTTAAGCCAGTGGTTCTCAACCTGTGAGTCTCGACCCCTTTGGAGGTCACTTATCAGATACCTGGCAAACAGGATATTTACATTATGATTTGTAACAGTAGCAAAATTTCAGTTATGAAGTAGCAGTGAAAATAATTTTATGTTTGTGGGTCACCACCACATGAGGAGTTGTAGTGAAGGCTGAGAACCACTGCTATAAGCTGATCCATGTAAATCAGGATGATGAAAATCCATTCACTGGATTATAACTAAATGAGTCTAGACCAAGAAAACAAAAATCATTCTTACTAATTGAAAATCTTCCAGTGTAAGACTGGCCCACCTTTTCATCTATGAAAATCTACCCAGTGGAAATAATAAAATAACTAAAGGGCTACTCTAGGATATTTGTCCTTTAACAGGGAAGGGTAAAAAACAAAAACAGAGGGTCTGGATAAAAGTGGTTAAAAGTGAGCACTACTCCTGCAGAAGACCTAAGTTCAGTTTTTAGCACCCAGGGTGAATAGCTTAGAATTTCCTGTAACTCCAACTCTCAGGGTATGGATGCCCTCTTCAGACTTCTGTGGGCACCCACACACAAAGTACATGTACACACACACACACACACACACACACACACACACACACACAATGTACATGTACACACACACACACACACACGTACTAACAAACAAAACAAACCTCCTTAAAAAGAAAAGAATGCAACAGAGGGCACAAGTCTATCAGACCATGCCCAGGTAATAGAATTTTCTGGAGCTACTTTTTGTTTAATTTTGCTTTTTTTGTTTTTCTTTTAAAACATGAATATGTTGAAATATAAAGTTAGCATGATGCAGCATAATGTACAAAAACTATCTGCTATTGTACTGTTTGTGCTAGAAACATATTCTGTGGGCTGGAAGGTTGGTTTAACTGTTAGGAGCATGGACAGCTCTTGCCGAGGACTCAAGTTTGATTCTCAGGACCCTTGTCACATGGCTCACAACTGCCTGTAACTCTAGCTCCAGAGGATCTAGACCCTCTGCTGGCCTCTATGGTCATCTGCACTCATATGCACATTCAGTTAAAGTAAATCTCAATAAAACATATTCTGGAATAATCTAAATCATGTTCACTCAACTAAGAATTCAAGTGCAGAAGAATTTCATATAGTTTTCCTGCTTCCTTTACATTTAGGAGAACCAGGTGGGACATCATGTTGCTGGTGAGCATCTGGGAAAGCTGTAAGAGGCCACCTTCCAAACTGCAGCTGGTAGCACCTCATTAAATTAGCGGAGACTGCCGTTTGCTAGTCTACGGTAGATACTTTCAATATCATTTGTGTGGTTTTGTTGATTGCTTTTATGTGTGTGTATGTGTGTGTGTGTGTGGGGGGGTATGTATGTATACAAGAAATAGGGAGTTAAGTAACTTAAGATGCTGTATTTTTACTTTGTGGGATCATTTTGGTCCATAATTACTCAGACTGCAACCAAATAGCATAGAATAGGATAATTAACAATGTGATTAATAATAGTAATTCTCAAGGTGGCTTGGGTTTGAACACTTCCTTTCAGAAGTAGGTATTAATTTTGGTGTATGGGCACACTTTTTACTCCCTGAAGTCAGTGGCCTTCATGCTTAAATAGGAGCATTTACCCTCTATTTTTCCAGGAATCGATTATCCTTGTAAGACTGGACAAGGCCATACACACAAAAGAATTACCTATTAGGGTTATAGTTTACCTGTTTCAGAATTTTTCTTGTTTTGGTTTGTCTGTTTTAAGTGTTAAAGGTGATATAAGAAGAAGCTCTTTTAAAAAATGAAATCAGTAGAGAACTGTTGAAAATGGCTATGTTCATTTCTGACTGTAGCCACTGCCTGTAAGTCAGGGTCCAAATGTCATTAGCAAGAACCAAAATGTTCAAGAACGGGGTCACTGAAAAGCCTATAGATATTGTTGGTCCCTTTTTCAGCTCCATCTTTCCATAGGAACAGTCATGTGACTTGCCAATCAATGACCCGGTTCTTAGATCACAGGGAGAGAAAGCAGTTAGGGTAAGTAGGAGGGAGGCGGGCAACTTGCGTTAGGTGGATTTCTGGAGCTTCAATAATCTTGGAAGCTACCTGCCAACCTTTCTTTAGGTGTAATTCTGCATGGTATTAGTGGAGACATTTTCTGGGGCTTGTTCGTTAGTAAGGAAGGAGAGAGCCAGTCTCTTTTTCTCTGGCACAAAGAACAGTTGTGTGGTGTAGAAGTCCAGGGTTGTTTAACATAGTCCATAAACATTGGTTGGCGTTGTGTTTTGAAATCCAACCGTTCTGTCAGAATTTCCTCTGTACTGGAGACTATCAAACTTTCACATACACCAGAACCAACTGTAGATCTGGTTGAAATGTAGTTAGAGTTAGCTTCTAAGAGGCTCTCAGGTGCTGCTGCTGGCCATGAGTCTGAGGAGTGGGGTGCAGGTAACCGATCACCACCTCTCTGCCATTAATTAGCCCACAGAGAGCAGAGAGGGAACCTTTCAAGTTGGTCTCATTAGGCTCTTGCTTTAATCAAATGCAGAAAGTGGGTCAGATTGACTGTTATGAATAAACTCGAAGGTCAAAAACAATGGCTCTCAATGACTGGTATCTATACTGCCACCCACAGGGCAAAAAACAAAGATTAAACAGCAAGGAAGAAAACAAATCCTCCATGCTAGCTAGATAAAAGGGAAGGGGAAAGAAGCAAATACAGAGCAGGACCCCTCAGGCTTGGGCTAAGTACAGAGCAGGACCCCTCAGGCTTGGGCTAAGTACAGAGCAGGACCCCTCAGGCTTGGGCTAAAGCATTCTAGACTGTGCGATTTCCCTTTATTGAAGACATGGGCCCTACATTCTCTTTGGACCCCCCAAATACAGCCACAAAGAAGGTCACACACCTTTGCTGGGAGGAAAAGCAGAGGGCCTTGCCTGTGGCTTGCATCATTTTTCCTGCTCGGGTTTTATCTTGGAAGCCTTGGGATCGGAGAAATTTTCCCAGTTCGTTTTCTTCTTGAGACAAGACTGATGGAGAGAACAGGGAAAGCAGCTGAGAAGCATTTTTACGACAAAGAAAGTGAGAGAGACAAATCCCAAGGCCCCCCTCTCCCTTCAGAGGCGAAGATTAGAGGAAATTAAATCCAAGTGGCAGGCTGCAAGGTAAGCCCCGCTACCCAGCCATTTCACTTCCATGCTGGTCCTCCATTTACAATAGGAGAGATCAGATTCCCCTGAATACATCTGTCAGTGAGTTTGGTGCCCTGTAATCAGAACCAGAAAATGACCTCTGTACTGGAAAGCGAGCCCATAATGTGCAGCTTAGAGGTGAAAGGAAGGAGTTGGGTTTGTCAAGGCTGACAGTGGCGACCTTTTGTGGCGGCCTCCTGTTATCCTCTCCTGCTGACTTTTTCATCTCTGCAGTCTGAGTTACATCGCCCTTTGTAAATCAGCTCAAGCCCCTCATCCATGATGAAGCAGGGTGGAGTTGGAAGCAGGGGCTGAAGGTGGGTAGGCCAGCAGGTTGACCATTTGGTAAATTTTAAAAATACAGAGCTAGAACCAAGTCTGAATTGGCTATGCTTAAATTTGGCTTTATTTTTAGAGACAAGTACAGATGGGGCAATTTAGTAAGACAGTGATTTGGCACATGCTGTCTACAGATTGATTGGTAGAAAACATAAAAAGTCACAGAATTGTATGATTCTTTTGATATTGTTCTTGTGCCATGACACAAGAGTACAGGGTATAGTCTCAGGAGGTCACAAAGTGGTCTCCAAAATGATCAACATCATTATTCGTAATACTAGCACTCTCCCTATTCTAGCGACTGATTTAATAATGCCAGAGCAGCTGGGCGGTGGTGGCACATGCCTTTATTCCCAGCACTCTAGAGACAGAGGCAGGCAGATCTCTATGAGTTCAAGACCGGTCTGGTCTATAAGAGCTAGTTCCAGGACAGGCTCCAAAGCCACAGAGGAACCCTGTCTGGAAAAAAACAAACAAAAAAAAAAACCCCAAAACAAAAAACCAAAACACACATCAACCCATAAGGACTGCCTCCACTGACGCGGTGGAAATTACATGACAGCTACCCTAATAGAAGAATGAAGCTCTTACAGGACAACCCTTGTCTCCTGAAGCCAGGTCTTAGCACTATGCATACACAGTGTACTCAATAAAATGGTTTTCTATTGCAGTCTGAAGGCTGGTTCATTTCACCAACGCATCAATCTCCCCACACTTCAAATTGTACCCTGTTATTAGTACCAACCTCTCCAGTAACAACTACAGAAGGCTGAATGGGAACCACATATCCAAAGGACTCACTCCTGTTCGCCTACTCGTAACTACAGTTCTTGACCAGCAGTCCTCTGAACTGCAGAAGGAAGTCCTGAGGCAGGAGGGGAGGCTTTTAGACACCCCCCATTTTTCATGAGATGAATAATACCCCTCCTCACACTTCACTCTCAAAACCCAAACATCCAGCTGCGGTGATGCATGCCTATAATCCCAGCATTCAGGAGGTAGAGGCAGGAGGGCAGAGAGACTGAGGTTAGTCAGGGCTTCTGAGAAGGGGAGACCTGGTCCCAAAAAGAGAAAAAAAAAGTAAATAAATAAATGTCACAGATCCAAACCCAGTTAAAGGCTTCTTCTGACAAGTGGCCGACCCTACTCTTCTGGACAGCAGTGTCCTTTGGGCTCCTGTGTCAGCACTGGCCACTGTTGGCTCAGTGTCAGAGAGTGTGGGCACAGATGACCTGCATCGGACTTCATCCTGAGACTCTGCCTTCACACAGACGATATCTAGACTTTGTATTTCTAGGCTAAGAAGAGTTTTATAGTCATGGCACTAATTAAATGTTTGTGAGACTGAATGAGCTGTTATTTTTGCCTTGTCACTGCACACACTGTATTTCATTTTCTTGTTTGAATTCATGCCATAGTTTTATGTAGCTTTTTAAAAAAAGTCTACATGATTTTTTTCAATGCCTTATGTATTTTGTCTTCATTGACTAATAGAGGATTCATTCATTTCTACTAAGAACCTTTTCCTTCCTATGGAGAACAATTTCCCAATTGCTTCAAAAAGCAGCAGGCTATTGTCACCTTTTTTACCTTAGAGACTCAAGTCATGTACAAATGAACACATCTAACTTTAGTCCCCAAGAAGCCAATTCAGCATCCCTGAATGCACACTTGTTGACACTATTCTCTTCTAAATAATCTACATATGCTGAAGAGTTCAGGAATAACATCAGATGAAACTTGGGGGCAAACAGGCTTGATTTTCTGTGCTGACCTGATTAACTGGTAGAGCTTCGGAGAACCCTTGAGCTCTGTCAGAGTCAAGGCAGGATTGTCCCCAGACGATATGGTCATTCTTGTGCAATGTGTATATTAGATAATTCAAAGTCTGCACATGTTCAAAAATTTCAACGGACTAGGTCATAAAATTTCGAATACAAGCCACTCACACTTACTTGCTGATTCTACTTTTCAGATGCCCTCTTTAAAGATAAAAAGCAACCCAAGAAATATGAAAACATTTTCCTTAACAGTGTTAATCAACTGTCGGGATTTATGGCTAATCCAGTAGCGATGAAGGAGACATAGGATGTCACCACCCCTCCAGAGTTCAAGTGACAGGTGACAAAAAATGAAGCACAGACACAAGACACACAAGGAAAAATGCTAGAGAGACTGTGTAAGACAGTGACTGCTTTAGACTGGGCAGTGAGGGAAGGAAGGATCTAGCCCCAATTGGATTCTGGGTGACACAGGAGGCATTCTTGGTATTATCAGGGCACACACTCTGAGCAGACCAACACATTGAGAGCAAAAGACCTCTATAGCCTGGGAGGCAAAGGAAATGGAGTCCAGGGGATAGGCTGGGACTAGACTGTTTCTAATTTGTAAACTGTGATATGTTTATATGCAATATTCTAGAGCAAGTGGCAATATGATCTAGCCTGGGATTGGTTAACTCTTTGAAAATAATGGCAGACTTAAAAAACACAACAGTATTCAGAATTGGGATATATCCTTCCCCAGCTTCTCCTCTCATTTTTTCTTATATTATTATGACACAAGGTTCAAAGCTAGGAAATTAACATAGATGCAATCCCGTCAACTAAACTATTATCCTTATTTGGATGTTTACCAGATTTTCCATTATTTTTCTTTTTCTGTTCCAGATTTTAGCCCTGGATCCCACATAGCAATGAGGTATTGGGTAGCCTGACAGTTCCTCAGATCCTCTTGCATTTTAAGACTTTGGCACCTTCAAAGAGTAGCCCAGCATTACAAGAGGGAACCACAACTGAATAGTTGCCTCCATCAGGTTGGGCTAAGGGGACATTTCTATGATCAATGGTGAGTGTGGGAGGGTCAAGCCTACGTTAGTGTGGAAATGGCGGCACCCCTGGGTAGGTGCTCCTAGGTCAAATAAGAAAGTTGGGTGAGTAAAAGCAGACGAGAGCAAGGCAGTAGGAAGAATTTCCCTATGGTCTCTGCTTCAGTTCCTGTCTCCAAGTCTTTTACCCTGGCTCCCCTTCATGATGGGCCGTCAGCTGTAAGATGAAATAAACCCTTTCTTCCCCAAGTTGCTTTTGGTCACCCCATTTATCACAGCAACGGGAACCAAACCAGAGGGGAGAGGGTTTATTTTATCTTTCAGTTTCCACTAAGACAGGGACTAATCATCTATCTAACTGTTCACCTGTCCCCATATAGACATAATCAGTAATTACAGTTCTTAGGATTTATACTTTAATACTGTCGTTACTTATCCTGTTACTCAAATTGGACCAGCTTTGACTACAGACTTGCTTCTGTATTCTTTAAGTTCCTATCCTTTCTCAAGGAAATTAGGATCTAGCACTACAGGTCATTCCAGGCCCATCTTCACTTCTCTGTACTGGGTCCGAAATCAGTCACTTCCCTAGAGGTGTGGAAAAGGGTGTTTAGAAAACAGGATCTGAATGTTAGTAAGTACTCAGTGCTGTGGGCTCTCGGTGCTTCCAGATGCTTCGAGGCAGGAAAGACACAAATGCACCAACCAGGCACACATGCTCATCTGGGTTTCTTTCTGTCCATATTTACCTGCGCAGGTTAACAGCAGTGACTTCATCCATTTCCTGTGTTTGCAGTACAGCACCTTATTCCCTGACCTGTAGCTTCATTTTACACAGGCTCTCAACTACACTACATTAAGTTGTTTAATCTCACGTACATACAATAGTTTTAGAATTGCTGGTCCATTTACTTAGGATCAATAAACTAATTATCTGCTCCAGTTTTCGTATGTATTTCTTTTTGTGCTGATCCTTATTCCCCCTCTTAAAAACACGGTCTTTTGAGTTATTGAAGTTAATTCTCTTCTTTCTCATCCACTGGTCCAGTGATGTTATCTGCAGTGCAATTCAGTCCATCAGTGACTATACTTCACTTTATATTCCCCCTCATATCCTGGCGGAGGCATTTTGTGAAGCGTGTAAAATATCACTGTGGTTTTAAGAGTCCGAATTACTGTTCATCTTGCTGAGGTAAAACTATGCCCCCACCTCTAGCATCCTGCCTCTATCCCTCTCTCTTCTCTCTTTCTCATGAACTCCATCCCTGCTCAAATGAGGTCTAGTTCCTTTCACTTGAGGGTTATCTTCTCTGAATTTCTTTGGTGCATTGTGCATACTCTTTGTACATTTGTATGTGTTCTTCTTTTTACACATTTATATTTTATTAATCCCCCTTTTCTTGCAAAACTGGCAGCATGCTATAAGTATCTGTGTTTGTTTTATTTTTCTTAAAATGCCACCTTAAAAACAAACCCATGACAGATCACAGAGATTTGCTATATTTCTTTTTCTATGGCAGCTACATAGCAACACCCTCAGATTAATGATTCTATTTTCAGTCCTCCATCAAAGTTGGGATCCTAATCAGTCTAAGCAGAGCAGAGCTCTTCTTTCCTTCCAAGCTGTGATGACATGGCTTACCCATAAACCAACAGTCAACCCCTGCTGACACAATCAGAAGACCACTTCATGGTTGGGATATGGGGAGTGTGTGTGTGTGTGGTGTGTGTGTGTGTGTGTGTGTGTGTGCACAAGCGTGCACGCATGCACGTGTGCACGTGCTCAAGAGAGCATGTGTGAATAACATAAGGCTGCAGGTGGTCACAGAGGACAGAAGAGGATACTGTATCTCTTATAACTGGAGTTACATGTGTTTATGGTATGCTCAATGTGCGTGTTAGGAACCAAACTCAGGTTCACATGGTAGAACAACATGTGTTTCTCACTGTTGCATCCTCTCTCCAGTCCCACTGTTAAGAGATAATTTTAACCCTGAACATTATAACCTAAGAAATGTTCGTGAGGAAGTTCTGTCAACACAATATATTCAATGAATTAGCTAACTGTGCCTCCTCTGCCTACCTAGTCATTAAAAAAGGGACATATATTAACAAGGAAATCAAATGAAAATAACTAATCAATATGTCTAAGATATTAAACTGAAAGAATATTGATAATTGGGAAAGTAAACAGTATATATGCATTCATGGATGAACCAGCAAAAAAATTTCCTAGTCTGATACTTGCTTTGAGAAGAGCCTAAGTAAATCAAAGGTAAAACTAGTAGAAACCTTCCTCATATTTGAAAGAACAAAGACATACCCCTTAAGTAGTTCCTGAGCTTGTTATATGATACACTAAGGCAAAATATCCTCCTCTTTCTCACTATTTGCTCAATATCATACTTAAGTCATACTTACAACATATTCTCTTTTGATACAGTACAATTGCTTTAGACAAGTCCAAACAGGTTCTTTGAATTGAATGGAATAACTGCAATGAAACAGAGAACAGTGCAAGTAAAATATATGTTAAAGAAAATCACAATATTCCATTTTTCTGCTAAAAACAAGACCCCCAAAATTCTATTTGATGTCCTGGATAATGAAACATAGAGAGAATGACCAATGCCCAAAAATCTTTCCTCACTGATCATCTTTACTATTTAAGTTCTACAGAACAGTTATTTCTCCAGACTCTTGAAATAACAGATGAAAAACAAAAGGGTAGGGCCCAATTATAGCTTGGTACACCAGAAACACAGTATTTAGCCAAACCTACTCTGTTATCTTTAACATTTACTGTCTTTTGTAAAAATAGAGGTTCTACAGGCTAAAGTATCATATTTTATGATCCTAATGTATTTTACAACATGTGTAAGCAAACAAAAATCAATTGGCAGAATGTTGTCTATTTAGAAGACATCTGTTAAAATGGTGTCGATCTAAGAACAAATATTGACACCTATTTCCTAGTAATATCACCAAATACACAGTGAGATAACTTCATGCCATACTAGGGCCATGATGAAGAAACCTAGGGAGCAGGAGAACTGTATTGAACAGAATAACTAGGTTTGAATTCATGGTAGTTGTGACCACTGATGTTGGTTGTCAACTTGACTACATCTGGAATCAATTAAAACCCAAATGGCTGGCAACACATGTGAGGGATTTTCTTGGTAGGCTCATTTGAGGTGGAAAGACCACCCTACACCTGGGCCACACCTTCTGGTGGCAACCTCCATAAAAGGACATGGAAGAAGAGAATTTTTGCTTTTTACCTGCTTGCCCTCACCCTCATTGGCAAGTTCATCTATACTCCTATTGAGGCACCCCTTTGTTGGTGGAGAACCTACTTTCAGATCCTACTGTAGACTGAAGACGAGCTGACACATCCAGCCTTGTGGGCTGGACAACCACTGGATTCGTGATCTTTCCTTTGTTGGACTAGCTAGACCACAGAAAGCTACTCTAATGAGTCCCCCTTTTAATATATAGTCTATTAGTTTTGTTCCTTTAGAGAGCCCCAACTCATAGGGTAGCCTTAGTCTTTCCTTCAGAAACTGAGATCACTCAGTAAGAGATGTTGTGCTTTGGAGAGTAAATGTGTCCCCAAAGCCCTATGCTAAAGGTCATCTGCCTGGAGGAAGTAGACCCTAGTGGGAGGAAGTGAGGTTACAGAGGACATCTCCTGGAAGGAGTTTTAGGACCACACCCTTCTCTGTTTCCAGACTGTTAGAAGGTAAACACGTTTCCTTGGCCAAGCACTCTGTCATTATAACTGTCTTATCCCATCACAAAAAAGCAATGGGGCTGAGTAACCTTGAGCCCAAAATAACTGGTTCTCCTTTTAACTCTATAATAGCTGCTGCAGTCACAAAAAGCTGACTAATATGACAGACTTCATAATTCTCAAATCCCTGTCCATGGACTCAGGGACCATGCATGGTAAGTATCAATTACAAAAGTCGATAAATGTCTTAACTCTATGGAGCCACTCAATAAGGCCGGACAGGGCTTTTCCTCTCCCATAAAACTCTATCAGTCACACCAACTTAAAACTACGTCTTGGACTCAGAAAGCACTTTCATGTTTGAGTGAAAACAGAGGATCTCTTCATAATACATATGACCAAATTGTCTAATGAAAGTAGTGAATGAGTTTTAAAAAGATTAAAATGTTTAATAGAATGTTTAATAGAACAAAGCTTGTTTTATTCTATTAATGAAGAAACAAATTTACTTATTTATTAAATTACATCCTCAACTTGTTTAGAGGGGAAATGTCTTTCCCCATTTAAAAAAATCAGAAAATCATCAGAATTTCTTCCTTTTCAGACTCCTGACAGCAGTGTTCTGGGCCACAGACCACCAGAGTAAGAGCAAACACATTCAGATTCCACAGGAGTAACCATATGATCCATTGTTGCTGTTGACTTTTTAAAACCAAGATATCTGTTAGGTGCAACAAAATCCCCAGCTGTGGAGTGTTTAGTTCTGTGAGTTTGACAGTTGTATTCACTTGTGAACCACACTTAAAACAAGCATTTCCATCATCAAAATAGTCCATTCTGCCCCGGCAGCTATTAAAAGACCAAACCTGAACATATTTATATATTAACTTCTCAAATTACATGTGTTTATTTTTATATTTACTATTTATTTATTTGGTTTTTGAGACAGGGTTTCTCTGTGTAGCTTTGGGGCCTGTCCTAGAACTTACTCTGTAGACCAGGCTGGCCTCAAACTCACAGAGATCCACCTACCTCTGCCTCCCAAGTGCTGGCATTAAAGGTGTGCACCACCACTGCCTGACTATATTTATTTGATATCCACATGTGTGTAGAAGGCTAGAGGTCAATGTTGTGTACCTTCCTTTGTGGCAAGCCACCTTATTTTTAAATTTTGTTTAGTTTGTCAATATTAGTGAGTGTGTGTGTGTGTGTGTGTGTGTGTGTGTGTGTGTGTGTGTGTGTGTACACATCACACTGTGCAGGCAGAGGTCAGAAGACAACTTTCAGGAGTCAGTTCTCCCCTTCTGGAGTGGGTTATGAGGATCAAACTTCAGTTGTCAGGCTTGTATATCAAGTACCCCTTACTTATGATCACAATGACTCACAACCTTATTGTCTGAGGCAAGGTTTATCACTCACCGAGTAGCTGCCTAGCAAGCCCCCAGTGATGGGAATGTCTCTCTGTATATATGTTTCTCTTGTTGGCTGATAAATTAGACACTGTTTGGCCAATGAGGCAGGAACTAGGAGACAAGGAGAATTCTGGGAAAGGTAGGCAAAGGGAGCCCAACCAGAGTCCCCATGCTGCTGGAGAAGTAACAATGTGCCAGGGCAATACATAGATTAATAGAAATGGTTTAATAATTAAAAAGAGCTAGCCAATAAGAAGCCCTAGTCACCGACCAACAGATTTATAATAAATATAGTATTTGTGTGTTTATTTGGGTCTGAAGTGGCTGCGGGACCAAGCTGGCGGCTAAGAACCTACAGCAACATCCCAGGATCTAACTGTCTCTTCCTGGCCCCTTACTACCATGTCCTGCTTCTACATGGCTGGAGATCCAAACTCAGGTCCTTGTGCTTACACAGCAAACATTTCCCCTGCTCTTAGTCTCTTAAGAAAGCCTGTGTGGGTACCTCCTTAGGCCAGCAGAGTAAACTAGCCTTCTGCAGGTAATTCAGGGTGAGAGCACTCCATAATAGCTGGGTATCATTCTCATGTTCTACTGGGGGACCCATTGTCTCTATAAACACACATTCCTATATTAGCATTTGTGTAACAGAAATAAATCCACCTGGTGGACAAACACTAAGTCATAGGTCAAACACTTTGGGGGTTTGGTCTACGATACTGGCTATTAGATGAAAACACAGTTGCTTCAATAAAAATGCTGCTGCAAAAAACCTTCACATAAACAGAATGTTTAAGACAGTAGTGAATTAAATTAAATATTAAATCACTGTATCTTTGAAACAGGGTTTGGCTGTGGAGCCCAAACTGGCAAGTCTCCTGCTTCGACCTCTGTTGTGCTGGGATTACAGGGCTACAACTATGCCAGTGCTATTATTAGCTTGTTAAAAAAAGACCTCTGAGATATGAAAAGCATATACAACTTAGAATGGCTTACACTGTGTTTACAATACAAATATCCCAAAAGGCACTTCCTCTCTTTACTCTGTTCCATGGTACAATCTCTCCTGAAGCAGCATCCAATCAGCTTCAGTTTCACAATTTCCAATGCCAGGAGAGAAAGGGCTAAGAACTGATACTGTTTGTACTAATATATAGTGACTATTTACACAGTCATTCAGTTGGAAACTGTGCCTGGGACAGGCTGCGGACACAGTGGTGATTAATGCTAACATGGAATTTGACCTCCTATTAGAGAAAAGACAGGCAAACAAACTTACACCTGAGGTTTTCTGTGGATGGTGCACCCAAAGGTTTTAGCCCTAGACTTACTGTTGTGCCCACCAGAGGGATTTCTGTGGCAGAAATGAGTACTCCAAGCAAATTGAAGCTAAGCCATGTGTTAGTGAACAGCTGTTCTGTGGGTAGATAGCCAGGGATTTTAAACAGCACGGTGAGGTAAAGCTTTTCAAAGTGACTTTTAGGCTGTGAGAACTACGAGAATGAGTCAGTCAAGGAAAGATGTAGGGGGAAAGTGTCCAGGCAGACCACAGAAACTGCTTTGACAAGTCTGAACTAGCTGATTGTACCCAGAGACCTGAGAAAAGCCATAATGGTTGAAACATAGGGTTAATAGTGTAGAGAGGTAGAGGAAAAACCAAACAAACACGGGAGGGAGGCAGAGGCCAGGTATGGCAGGAGTATTCAGGAAGCGGTTGCCAGGATGATAAGCCCTCAATAAATAATATCATCACTTGAATTACTCCCAATTTAGCCCTCATAACAGCTGGAACAAGCAAGCATTCTCGTTTTTAGGACAACAGAGCTCACATCCCACTGTGCATGGCGTCTACTGTCTCAAAGCCAGCCCATCTCTCATTAGCCTAAACCTTAGCAAGTCCGGCCTGTGTCGGCTTCCTCCCTCAGATTCATAGAACGAGTGTACTCCTCTTCTGCACAGAAGACATTCCTCTGTAATTGACAACTACCATGGTGTCTCCTTAGCCCCTTCCAGAAAAGGCTTTGAAATCTTCAGCTTTTTATTGCAGTCTCGTGACTGTTCAGCTCATTAGCTGCCATATTAAACTCAGAGATCCCACTGACTATCATCCATGGGACACGCTATTTCTCAGTGACCTGCCACTCACAGAACTGATGTTTGCTTTCAAAATGTAAGGAAAGCTACAGGCAAAATTGTTCAGCAAGACAATGACGTAGCAGGCCTTCTACTCGTATAAATGCATTAGATTAATGAGTCTTTCCTAAATAAAGATAATGGAGACTTATTATTAATTACCAAAACTCAGCCTTAGCTTAGGCATGTCCCACTAGCTCTTATAACCTAAATTAAGGCATTATTTTTTTATTAATCTACATTCTACCATGTGGCTTTTACCTCTGTCCCATACTGTGTGTTGCAAATGTTCTGTGTTTGGCTGGTGTCTCTGCCTTTATCCTTCCCAGAGTCCTCTCTGTTCCTGGAGGTCCCATCCAACGTTGTCCCATCAAACTACTGGCCATTCAGCTCCTTATTAAATTAATTAGAAGGTGCCTTGGCAAAGACACATCTTCACAGTGTAAACAAACATTCCACAACATAACTGGATATTTTCACTACATACTTTCACTAAATATGGGCTTAGTTAATTCATTCTAGAATTTTCCATGGTATAGTAAACAACCTTGCTAGACTCTACTTTACAGGTCATGTTTGTTGCTGACTAAACACATGCCTGGTTTTAATGTTCTAGCTTCTCAGATAGAATGAGCAGACCTTTTTTATTGTGTTTAATATTTCAACAAACACTTCCTTGAATTTACCACACACCATGCATTCCAACTCTATTGCTTGAAAACACATTAAGAGAGGTATGTTGGGGTCAGAATTTGTAGACTGAAATATATTGTAGAATTGATCTGATCCTAGGTGTTCCTCACTGTCTAATGTGAGCAAACTAAGACTGTCTAGTAAGACTGCTCTAAAGTCTTGACTCTTGCAAGGTAGCTTTGCTGGACCGGAGAGCCCTGAAGAGCTTACCTCTAGCTTGGCATCTAGGTCTGCATCAGAGGCAACAACATGCTCATCTTCCTTCTTCCCTGTGGCCTTGATAAAGGCCTGCTTCGTTTCCCAATACTTCTGCTGCATCTTATTGACAACTGACTTATCTTGAGCAAACCGGTCCTGCAGCTCCCAGGAATAACTGCTAAAAACAGTAGAGAACTATTTTAGTCATGGCTTTCAAAAGGATTAAGATACTACACTGAAGTATTTTACCTAGATATGACTTTCTAATGTACATTTACATTATTGATAAATACACAAAAGCTTTTTTATGGGGTTATTATACCATGAAAATCAATTCTTTCTAACTTACTCCACAATTTTAAAACTTCAAGTGAGAAAGTTCTGAATCTTTTAAAGAAAATCAAGAAATTGAACATCAAAAAGAATGTATATGTGTATCTTAGGTTGGACTTACTCCTTTTGGGGGTGGAAAGAGCGAGGCCAAGGAAGCCAGTAACTAGCTCAGGACAGCCCCATGTGTCAGAGATAAGGACAGACAGCAGCACATCTCTCCACACCTCCATTATGCCACAGTGGGGTGACAGCAGGAAAGCAGATAAGGGGCTGAAAAATAGCACGTCTAAAATCTGCTACAGAGGCATCTGAAACTGTCAGACTCCGGGTCAGGGAGAAGAATGGTGGCTAGCTCTGGGGGAAGGGAAACGTGGAGAATGGCTAATCAAGCCATAAGGTACGTTCCGGAGACCTCCTACCACTGGACCTACCAGTTAGCAATACTAATTGTGCACTTTAAATTTATTAAGAGTGTAGAGTCAGCATTAATTGTCTTTATAGTAATAAAGTAAAAAAAATAAATTCTACAAACTGTTAGATTTCTGGGTGTTAAAAACTAAATTCTTCAACAAAAATGCTTAAACATATATAGGAAGTTACTGTACTGAGAAGCAAATAAAAATTTGTAGAGAAGAATTAGAAAGACAACTGAGAATGACACTGCATTCCATAAAAGTGATCAGAGGATCCCAAATACCGTTAGAGGTTTGCTCTTAGTGCTCCATCCCTCCTCCTAGTCGGTCTACATCCTACTTGGTTCAGTTCCCACTACAAAAGCCCAATCTGGGTCCTCAAACCAATCCTCCTTCCTCCCACCCTCGTCCATCGCCACTCTAGATGTGCCAAGTTGATGTTCTAAAGTGGGAGCTGCCTTATAATACTGTAGCAAAATGCTGTATCTCAGGCATGATGATTCATGGTCTTCATTTGTTAAGTCCATTATGCCTACTTACAAGGTCACCTCACATGTTCAGTCTTAAAATGTCAGAAAATCTGTCTGATGATGTCCTTGATGATACTTATCTTTGGTGTAGGACATGTGGGAGTGCTATTTATATCTTTATTAGTTAAGAGATTTATTTAGGTTTCATACTAGAGAAAATAAGATAAAATAGGCATACCATATACGAAAAAGGTATGTCTCTATAATGTACACATTAAAAGACTGAAAGGGTCTAGCCCAAATAGATTATTCCAGGGAAATGGGATTCTAAAAACTGAAGTATTGGATGAATTTTGCATTGGATTTTTTTTTCTTGATCAACAGAAAAAAGTTCCTTTTGGAGGAAAAAAAACAAACCGGGAGTGCTTTAGAAATCTTGTAAGCACTCACCAGTTGCCCATAATTTAACAAACGAGAACCTGAAGTTCCAAAATGTTAAGGGTGTCACTCGAAGTCACACAGAATGAAAGGAGAGACCTTGCAGTGTATCTCCAGCAAGCCACAAAGTTGAGCTCTGCTCGGGTCTACCTATACCTGAGGTGGGGGTGGGGGGTGGGGGTGTGTTCCAGTTCCTATGAGTAAGTGCTGAGAATCCCAGGACATGCCAGTCACCATGAGGGCACTGAGATGGAGCCAGTTCAGGGACACAAGGAGGCAAGAGGAACCAACTACAATAAGTCTGAAAACTGTTGGATGAATGTTCAATGAGAATGCCCAAGGATAACCTTAGTCATTTATTTATTTTTAAAAAGAAACTTATATTTTAAGACATGCAGAAATTCTTTTGAAGTTTAAAGATTGATATTATAGAGGACTTTGGGCCTAATACATTTCTTGGTAAGAAGGGAAGGATTAAAATGTGTATTTCATATATTTTGGTGTATGAAAATAAAACTATTGTATATTTTTTCATTACACAAGTTAAAGGGGGTATAACTTGACAACCTTCTAGTTGTTTGGTATGTGGCAGCTTCACCATGCTAAGAAATTACCAATTAAAGAACTTCTAAGAGGCTTACATGCTGCTTAGATATGTTATAGACACATACATGATAGAGCTACCATGAGAACCATGTCTAGTTATGATTGGCTTCTGAATGTTCACCATTTTAATAAAACTGAATAATGTTTGATTAACTGTATAATTGCTCTTTAGGCAGCCCACATAACATTTGCATTTTCCCTCTAATAGTGGAAGTTATAAAGAAGATAGTAGCAATAATGCATCAAGTTATCAGATTATATGAAATGGAGGTAAGAAAAATTATCCTTAGACTCCTAAGAGTGATGGAAGTATTGACAACACTTTTGTTGCTTGGTTTTTATCCCACATTGATGAAAGATACTAAACCAGGCTTCTCTAGCATCAGAAAGTGGATAGGTGGTTAGTTACTGCTGAAGCCTCTTGATAGGTTCCATTTCATCCTCATTCATTAAGCATAAACTATACAACTTCCATTTGTCATCCTCCAATGGAAAAACTGGCAACAGATTCCTTACCATTTGTGTCCTGACATGTCTTCTTCTTTTTCTACTGTTGATGATTTGAGAAGGGGCAGAGAAAAAGCATGATATGATATGTTATATTAAACCTGGAATAAAACAAATATATTTAACAGTTATTCACTACATTATAACTATACATTAATTCAATGCATAATATTTTTCAGTCTAGCATGATAAGGGTCAAACACTGTTCTACAATAATGCCAGGTATTGGTGTCAAAAATGATTACCTGAGTAACACTGGAGCAAATATCCCAAATGAAGCTTTTAGGAAATGAACAGGTAGAATAATGATTTAAGAAACCCCAGCTTTTGTAAGACTATATCACAGATGCTGTCATTTATATAAAGCTTAAGATACATGAACTAATGCTGCATGCCGCTGAGATATACAGTATCATATAATTTACTTTGAAAAGCACTCTTCCACGTCTTTAGTGCTCATCTTTTATAAAGCATACAGTTGTCTGAAAAGAAACGGCAACAATGGATCCAACTGTGGTACAGTCAGAGTGGAGAATATAGACTTGCACCACCTGTGCACGTTAAAATGTTTAGATCACAATTTTAAAATACACTTGCTTATCATTTATGTGTGTGAATACACATGTCATGCTGTTTACATAGAGATCAGAGGATACTGAGGGTAAATTTCTACTCGTACCATCTGGGTTCTGTGGATCTAACTCAGGTTAGGTTGGTGACAAAAGCCACAATCTGCTGAGCCATCTCACTGGTCGCCCTCTTTTATATAATTTTAAATTACACTTATTTTAACTGATACATAAAATTTGTATATTCTAGTGGAGTACTATGCTTCTTGGATATAAAGATTTTGTTAGAAATGATGTAGGGAGGGTGCAGGATCAGAAGTGGGATAGCCATGGTAGCTTTTATTTTTTGCTTGTTTCTGATCTTCTACAGGGCTAGTTTCTACACTGAACATTCCTGTAGCAGTACACACAGTTCCAAGCCTTCCACACCATTGCCATTAAGAGTCGCTTTTCTCCAGAAGGCATGCTATTAAGCATCAGCTCATTTGGTTTTAGTTTGCATTCCCCTGACTATCAGTCAGTGATGTGAGCATCTTTCTGTAGTTTTGTTGACAATTTGTTTTTATTAGAGAAAGGTCCTTCCATCCTTTACTCATTTTAAAACTGAACTATTTTTGTTATTGAGTTCTTTGGACATTACATCTACATGGTTTGCAATTTTTTTCCATTCCATAGACAGCCTTTGATTTTGCTTCTGTTGATTGTTTGCTTTGCTGTAACAGTTTTGATTAATTTTGATCATTAAAATCTATATCCACTTTGGTTTTTTTTAATACCAAGAACAAATATTGCTGAGCAAACTGTCTCTCCTATACAGACTCTCCGGATGTTACCAGATTACACACCACCTGGCAGTGTCCCCCAGTGTGGTTGCCAAGCCACTGCTCCATGCTGCTCTGGGTGTTAAATTCCGGAGTCCTGGCTCCTTCCCCACTGAACTAGAATTTCGGGGAAAGGGTCTTCAAACTCACAGTTACAACAAAACTTACATGTTAATATAATTTCTAGAAATATTAAAGTCTAAGAACTGTGGCTAAATGCAAAGAAAGCCTTCATGGAAAAATGGATCCTTCTTGAAGAAACACGGCAAAATGCAACAAAGTCATGGGTAACCAAATAGATAAACCATGCAGGCATATCTAAGTATCTCGTGATAAATCAGCTACAGTCAGAGCCTCCATCTCCTTTTAAACATGTTCAAACACCACACATCAAAGACAACTAACACATATCTTAGAATTCCTAGACTCCACCTATTCCCAACTTGCTCTATCATTTCCTAAACTGACAATACCACAGCCATGAGTTAAAAACCATGATGGGGCTCTTGACAGGTCACAGTAGGTAGAAACGTGTGCCCTACTAGTCTGACAACATGAGGGTGAACCCCAGAACTGACACAAAGGTGGAAAAAAATCAACTGACTTCCACATTTACAACCCCCTCTCTTTCTCATACTACCACACCAATAATAATAATAATAATAGATAAAATTACAAATCTTCACCCTTTCATTTCAGTTTGACATTTTAATTAATCAAACCTTCACTGGACACTAAATACAAAATAGGCATTGTCTCTGACAGGAAGCAACTTGTCATCTAAATTAATTCTGTCCAATAAAAAAAAACACTAATAGTTATAGCATAGCTAAAATGATCTGATGGCCATAGTAAAACCAAAATAATGAAAGTTAATGTTTGTTATTTAATCTAACACATCTAAAAATAGAATTTGAAAAAGTAATCAATATTAAATTTCTAGGCTACTCAGTTTCAGGAGGTCCCATTTATTGTTGATCTTAGTGTCTGTGCTACTGGAGTTATGTTCAGGAAGCAGTCTCCTGTACCAATTCATTCAAGGGTACCTCCAACTTTCTCTTCTAACAGGTTCAGTGTGGCTGGATTTATGTTGAAGTCTTGGATCCATTTGGATTTAGGTTTTATGCATGGCAATAGACAAGGATCTACCTGCAGTCTTCTACATGCCAATATCCAGTTATGCCAGAACCATTTGTTGAAGGACACAGTCAGCAAGACAAAAAGGCAACCCACAGATTGGGAAAAGATATTCACTAACCCCACATCTGACAGAGGGCTGATCTCAAAAATTTACAAAGAACTCAAGAAGCAAGTCTCCAAAAATCAAAGGATTCAATCAAAAAGTGGGGTATGGAACTAAATACAGAATTCTCAGTAGAGGAGCCTAAAATGGCTGACAGACACTTAAGAAAGTGCTCAACATCCGTAGCCATCTAGGAAATGCAAATCAAAACAACTCTGATATACAATCTTACTCCTGTCAGAATGGATAAAATCAAAAACACCAATGACAGTTTATGCGGGAGAGGATGTGGAGAAAGGGGAACACTCCTTCATTGCTGATGGGAGTGCCAACTCATACAGCCACTTTGGAAATCAGTATGGTGATTCCTCAGGAAAATGGGAATCAGTCTACCACAAGGCCCAGCAATTCGATTCTTAGGCATATACCCAAAAAAATGCACATTCATATAACAAGGACATCTGTTCCACTATGTTCATAGCAGCAATATTAGTAATAGCCAGAACCTGGAACCAACCTAGATGACCCTCAACTGGGGTGGATAGAGAAAATGTGGTACATTTACACAGTGGAGTACTATTCATTGGGAAAAATGGAATCTTGAAATTTGCAGGCAAATGGATGGCACTAGAAGAAACCATCCTGAGTGATATAACCCAGTCACAAAAGGACAAATATGGTATGTACTCACGCGTTTATGGATTTTAGAAATGAATCAGGGGAGTGCCAGCATACAATCCCACTGTCAGAGAGTCTGGGAAACAGAACCTTCATCCAGCGACTGATGGAAGCATCTGCAGACACCTACCGCTAAACACTGAACTGAACTCCTGGAATCCAGTCACAGAAAGGGAGAACTGATGAGCAAAGGAATTAAGACTGGACTGAATTAACCCACAGAAACAGTTGATCTGAACAAGGGGCACCCTAGATTGATGGCTGTGTGGAAAGCATGGAACTGACCTAGACTCCCTGAATGTGGGTGTCAGTGAGGAGGCCTACCTAGGTAATCTATGGTGCCTTGGGTAGTATTTATCCCTGGCATACAAATAGACTTTGAGTGCCCATCCAACAATGAGGGATGCTCTCTCAGCCTGGACTCTTGTGGGAGGGCCTAGGCCCTGCCTTGGATGAAATGACAGACTCTGGAGATCCACTATGGAGGACCTCACCCTCCCTGGGGATCGGAGTGGAGATTGGGTGGGGGACTGGAGGACCTGGTGGGGAAGGCAGGGAAACAAGCTTGTTTCTAACTTAAATTTAAAAAAAAAAGGAAGAGAAAAAAATTCTAGTCTATATTTCTCATTCACATTTGAACTAAGTCCAAAATGTTTTTTTTAATATTTACCCACACATTAAGTTTCAATTTATACTGACCACATTAAATATTCCATAGTCTCCTGGGATTAGTATACAGTATTAGAGAGTGTACAATTAGTAGTAGAGACAGATATATAAACATTCTTTGGAGACTCAGAAGACATTTGAAATTTGTAGAACCAAATAATGGCACATTTGTAAATTCACTTGTAAAAACATTCCATTGTAAGAGAATGAAGTTTTCAATAGTATGAAATTGTTCATGGACTTCAAGTGCCATGAAGACAAGGGTACCAATATCTCAATCAGTTTGGACACCTTGCCCACAAGGATGTCTGGGTTTTTTCTCAAGGAAGGCAAAGTAGTCCACCAATGAGAACTATGAGATGATGAAGATGATAATGGTGACGATGACGAATCTGTTCAAAGATATTGGGCTCCAAGAGTTAATCATGAACAGTAAGTTCTTATTTCTATAAAACAATCCTAGCAAGATGGCAGTGATTTCCTGGGCAGTGGGTTCTTTGTCCAAGACACAAGTAAAAGGAAGGAATGGCTTTCTGCTCAGAAGTTAGATCCTGTCACTTAGATGATTCTAAGAGGTCTAAACAGCCCTCTTGGGTTTTCCAAGCTGCACCTTAACAGGATTACAATATGTCTCATAGCCCAGGATCAGGCATTAAAACCCTGGTTTATCCTAACCACCCTAGAGGCTGGGAGATCATCTTGTCCTGTGGGGAGAACCTAGGATCAGGGAAAGGAACACTCTTTGTATTTTGTATTGAGGTTCTGTGCAATCATTATGCCCATTTTCCTTGTTTAGATACACTTCCTGTACTGCCCTCTCAATTTGATTCCCTGATATGAATAAATAAAACATATTAAGTATCCATACACATGTCTTTTAAACATCACTTTGAAACAGTATAGACATAAACAAAAGTCTTGGTTTCCTCCTCACAATAATCTAAGGTTCACAAAAATGCTGAAATAGAGTCTAACTTGTTGCTCCACAGTGAAGTAGTTAGTCTAGCCTTGCTGCCTCGAACCATAACACTGGATTCTTCTTGACAACATGATATGAGAAGGCATCTTCATTCCAAGCAGGCTGGCTTCAGCTGCAATGAACACTTGTTCTGGCCTACAAC